TGGCTACAGAAAACTCGCTTGACCGGAATAGTAACTTCGACTTAATGAGACTGAATGACAATTAAAAGAAGCGAAATCACAGCTGAGAATACAGGGTGAATAGAGGGAGAAAATGGAGCGGGACGGTAATGAGAACCCGTATTCATCGACGAATACATTTAAAATGACTAGAATCAAGCAATGATCGAATAGAATATCTTGTTCGAATATGCAATTTTCGTTATTAAATGTTATCAATGGCAGCGTTACGGCTGGCTTGTAGCCGAATCAACGTGTCGAGTGGATTAAACGGTTGCTTTGGCAGCGATTGTCCAATCGTTTCCTTGATCGATAATCTGCAAATATGCATATCAAACATTGAAAAAAATTGTTAGACGAGTCAGAGAGGCTCGCGATGAGGAGGACGGGGGAGAGGGAGTGAGGCAGCGTCCAGACTTTATGGTGGCAGCGATTCATACGCGCGACTCTTGCAATTGCGCCATAGGAGTGATAAGAGATTGCGCGATCGAAGCAATCGTGCTCCAGTGCTATTAAATGGCAAACTATTCCGACTTCTGAGCTATTTCCACTGAGCCTCTTTCGTTGCCCCTTTCCCCCTCCCCCTTTTTTTTTTCTTAAATCTCTGATTTCGGCGGCGCTTAGCGTAGTAAGGGACACCATACACTTGGAAAGGGCGGCCCATCTGGGTCCGCTAAATCAATCCTTAAATAACCCATGCTTTCTCTGTCCCTCCACCACCCTCAGGCGTTTTGCCCCCTAGAACCTTGGAGACGGGACACCTAGGTGCGGTAGAGTGGTCACCCCCTCCCCCCCCCCAACAACGTTGCGCCACGACTTCGCTTTTCCATGTTTCAACGTGAGGATTCAGCGGATCGATCGCAATGGTCCAAAGCGAATTCCTCGTAATCTGCACAAGCTCTCCCATCAAAGTTCTGTTAACTATATACCCCTCTTGAAATATACGGAACACTCCTCGGCACAGTTTGCCGACAGGGGGGCAATTTTGCAAACTTTCGTTGCTTCAGTACAGCTCTGTGTTTACAACGTCTCACTCTGGAAACCTGTGCATCTCTTAGTGAAGGCTGGGGGGAAGTCGTCAAGCCATGATGGTAAAACCTGTCAACTCGAGAAGAGGCTGTCTATATGGGTCCACAGTCGATGGGAAGTCGTTGAAGTACAAAATGTCCCCCCCCCCCACTGTCGCCAAAACCAGCGCCTTTCCTTCTTTCTCCCCTAGCGTTTAGTCCCCGGCGCCGATCGCAGTCCCGCAGCGCCTTCCCCCTCTTTGATAATAAAGAACACTTTCTGCGTGAGACCTCAATTATATTGAAAAACTTCGTTAAGGAGTGCTGCTTTCCTACTCTGTGTTGGAAATCTGGTAGTTACAACGCTTATCTGTCAAAAAGAATTGCGAGCAGGAGAAAAGACGCTGCGATGTTGATTGTTAAACCTGACGAAAAAGCTAAATGTCATCACTATTTGCTGTCATCAAATGCATGCGACTATAAGTCGTTTGCGCAGCGCTGGGAAGTGTCAGGTGGGTAAGGGGCTGGGTAAGGCACGGCACCATCGCGTTCTCCATCAACTGTTCGAACGAGCAAGCGACAACAATTGGTGGAAAACCGGTGGGTGCCACGCCAAACTCAGCGTCTGCAGCGAAAACGATACTATTTGGGACAGTGAGAAAGAGTGATAGTGCAGACAAAGAGCCCCAGCAAAAAGTCAGAAGCGCAACAAAATTTGAAACATCTGAAGCTTCCGGTTACCACTGTAGCCAGGCGAAGATTGCAACGTGAAGTTCAACCATCGACCGACTTCTGTGACCTGGAAACTCCTAAGTATCGACATTAATCAATGACCCATTGCCAATTCAACTATCGCAACTAGTTTGGCCTAGCATGCTCTCTAATTGTGAGTCTCACACCTAGACAAAGAAAGCTTGAGAAAGGCAAAAGCGGTCTGTGCACTCACCTATTGAGGCATTCTTCTCCGGACGGTCCTTCCAACCATGGCCAATGTTCGCACACGATGTCCGTAGGATCTTCAAACGATCCACAGCGACCGAGTACTTTGACTCCTACAATTGCTTCTATTTGATAATTCTAATAATTTCATTTGAGGTAAAAATTTTGCCCAATATTCCTTCTGAAATTAGAGTTAGGAGGCGGAGGTGGTGTAGTGACAAGTGGCGCGCTTACCACTCGCGCGATCCTGGCTTCGAATCCGGGTCCGACTCCCGCCTAATGCAAACCAAGCTTTTACCCATCCGGAACGTAACTAGATAACAAATTTGTTTCTGGGACTTGTACATCCGGCTGGCGCTCGGCGAAAGAATCCATTGTATAGGCCACATCGCATTCAATAAGCCTACTACGATTCTGAATGGAAGAAGAATGCGTGCCGCATCCCACAAAGGGATTCATTAACGGCGGAGACTTTATCCTTCTAATTAGAGTTAGAATAACATTTTCGAAACGCAGTAGTTCCTAGCTGGAAAGGAGAGCGGCGAGGAGAGAGAAAAGGACATCCGCGCGAGTCTCCGCATCCTTCTCCCTGAAAGGCTTAAGCGAGGGAGCGCAGACGAAGCCGAAGCACCTTGGATAATCGCCACGGAAAATTCATAGTCCTCCGCAGAGAAAATGAGCGCTTGTCCACCCCCGCCATCATCAGCACACTGACGTATGCGGAAGAGAATCGTAATTGGCCGTGCCATGGACGTCGCGTGCGGACGTCGCCTCCTGCCTAACTGACGACTATTTTAGGTGATATTGGTCGAGAATAGACAATGTATGACCAAATAGACAGTGTCTACCATGTCCTTGTGTACACGAAATCCGATGCTCCAATCGAAAGGGTAGCTAAATTAAGGAAACGAAGCGGCAATTTACGACTCCCTTGCCTCCCTCAACCACTTTAGCACCAAGTCTTCCAATATTTTTGTCGTTTGAGAAATAATAAGGACGTTTTTGCGGTGCTATGCGTACACTGTTGAATTATTTCCAAGTGTTGCCAAAAATGCAGAAGTCCCTCCCAAATGATAGGGCGCGCAACGATTGGAAAACTTGGAAAACTGTTCTGACTGCGCTCTGACTCATGCCCCTTCACACGCCCTGTCATTTGCAGGGATCATAAGTATACATATGGCCTATCAATTAAGCAACAAAGCTGGTTCTTCACTTACCCTCTCTGGCCACCTTGACCATGTACGGTACGATGTTCTGGTTCCAAAGACGAACAAACCACGCCCGTGATTCTTCAACACCTAACGGACACTGAAGGAAAATCCGTGGTCCGATTGTTACATCGAGTGAGTTTGCTTTCTCGATGAAAGTGTTCACGGCCTGAAATGAGACATTTCATAATTGGAACGATCAGAAAGTTCCTCCCCATGCTTTTTTCCCCAAACACGTCCACGTACCACGCACCAATCAATTTGAATTTAGTAAATTTATAGAAGCCAGAGCAGTAGAAAAATGCTCCGAACACTCTTCAAAAAGTAGAAGTCGTATAGTGAGGTAAAGTTCTAGTACATGGGATATTTCGATTCTCTGACTTTTAGCTATGGAAACTGTACCTGTAGGACAACGGGCAGGAACTGGATCACTCGCACCAACTCGGGCTGTGTCTGACGTGATAGGCGGAATTCGGCTTCGATGATACGGCGACGCAAAAACCTGAACAGTTAATTATAAATTTCTGTCCATCTCATACTTATAGTGTAGTTCGCTGCGGACGGTTGGGCGTGTCAGGCGGGATGAGTTTGGCGCGGTGCCAAACCCGTTCTCCACCAGTTGTTAAAGCGAGCAAGTGATATGACTGTATCATATCGTTCGTATTACTCGTTTTCTACCACTTTTTGTCGCATGCGCGCTTCAACAAGAAGGCAGAGAAACGGGTGACACACTCATACTGCCTGACACGCCGTAACCGTCCGCAGCGAACCAGAGTATAGATGCTTTTCTGGGAAAACTGGTTCACAATGGCCGACACACCACATTCGGATGCACATGTCAATAAGGTGCCGTCTAAAGAACAGCAGCTGCCGTCAGGTCTACTCAGAAACACTTAGGTTAATGATTTCCGTGTTGCTGTCAATTACTCCTCCGACCGGAAGCACAATTCATACACCAAAAAGTGGAACATATTTCCGTGTTGAAGTCAGAAAAGCGGTACCACGGCTATTCTACAGCCATGTCCACCAAGACAACTATTAAACTATCAATGTAGATAGCTGTAGAAGTAGCGGCTAAGGGAAAATTACCTTAATCTCATATCAGTCTTAATTTTTGCAGCGATTTGGAGGCACGAAGTCTCGTGAGAAAACATCAGGATTTTGAGACGACTATGAGGGTTTAGATTACAAGAGAGTTAGCCTTCACATGATAGGTCTTCGCATAGATTGGAAAGAGATTTCCGTGTTTTTGGATGTCTAGACATCGCAATATCCTTCAAAAGTGTTTGTGCTCAAATTATGAGCTTCAACATCACCCACACTTCCTTTCCAATTCGATTAGCATTGAATTTGCTAAATACTGCGCTTTACGAGAAATTTGCCTAGAAACTCAGCTGGACTATGAAAAAAATTCACCTTGCCATGAATCCCTTCACACCGTCCATCCGATTTGTGAGCAGGAACATTTTGAAATTGTGATGGACCTGCATTTCTGGCAACTGGCAGGCTCGATTCACAGTGCAAATCACAAATGGTCCGTCTGAAATGCGAAATTTAATACATTTTTCTAATATATTCAATATATTTAGACAGTAACAGAGGAGATTTCTCTTTTGAGAATGCTTTCCTAGTGGGAGGTTAATGAGCCGTAGTAAGCGCAAGAAAAAAAACCTGCAATTGCGACAGTACCACACACTTTTACTACTGGACATTCCTTATCCACTGAGATGGAGTAGGCGTGGCATTCGAACTTGGCATAGTATGAATACTCGTGGGGTATTTTAGTTTCAGACAACTGTCATCTTGTTCTGCATTGGACACATCCACAATTGTGTCAAAATGAAAATATCCCTCCAAGACACAACCGCCGCCACATTTAGTTGAAGTACGCAGCCACGCCTACCACATCTCACGGGTTTCGAGTATATGTACTTAGTGACTTCTACCCCTCCCTCTGTCGCAGCGCAGTATACAGATTGTGAGATTACGACTAGAGGAAATTTATTGTCTGATAAGGAGAGTAGTTTCCCGCACAAGGTCAGCGAGTTACTCTTGGAGTCCATTTCCACTGAAAACGAGTTTATAGGACAGGGAGGTATTTAGCTCATAACAGCATAATAAATGTTACAATTCGAAGAGCCGCTGAAAAAAATTGTTGAATAAGAGCTATAGATTCGGTAAACCTATTTAGGTAAACTACGTAGTTATTTTCATAGATAAAACATTTCTTCTGGGCGGTAACCAGCGTTTTTACGATTCCTTTAGCCTATAGGAAAAATCTATGGCGGGTTCGGTCGATCTGTTGTAAAAGTATAGGATGTTTTACTGAATCAGAAGGTCTATCAAGAACTTAAGTTGATCTATGCATGAGTCACACATGAGTCCCTTCGGAGGCAAATGACTAGCTTACAACCGCTAGGAACGATTTGTCGTAATTCTT